CACAATATAAAATTCTTAATTTCTCCCCATAAAAAAAAAGTGTGTGTGTTTGGCACAGTATGGGCAGACCCTGTAATTAAGGTTGTGTTGATTCATTCAGTAAATTGTTCACTTCTTAAAAAAAAAACGTAAGTGATTTTTTATTGGTAACTTCAAATTGTACTCTTGATGAAGATCCATTTAGGTAATGTCACCCCTTTTTGAAGTCCTCTCTTAAGCAGCAGCAGAACCCTCTTTCCCTTGTTTGCATTCCCTCCTATATCAGCTTTCTAAAACATATGATCTTTTCTACAAAGGCGATTTCTCACAACTGTCAGGAATAAGTCATGACTGGTCCTGGGTTTTATAACCAATGATACATGAAGCAGAACACCAAACAAATATAAAATAGCTTTTAGTCTACTTAACGTGTGCCTGTGCCCAGACTATGTGCATTAGGGTAATGGAATCTTCCTAACTAGCAGCAAAAGAACTTTAAAGCAAGACACTGTGGAGAAATTAATTTTCAGTCTTCATAACAGAGGCATTGAGAACACAGCTCGTTTCCCCATTTATATATCTCTGTCAGAACAGACAGTCCTCTATTGTAAACAAATGGCAGGTGCTGTAAGCCATTAAACACTTACTGAAACCTAACTTTAGAGTCTCTTTTCTCCCCAGTGCCTGCAGCTACAAAGGTCAGTGATGGCCTTTTTTTAAAGCTCCATTACTGCATGTTAAGTTAAATGTTAATATCCATAGTCTGAGCACGGGTGAACTTTAATCATTTGTTTAAAAATAATTAAAGCAAATCTTTTGCCCCTTTCACTAAAAATCACATCAGCATACAGCTCTGCATGCTGCTATGAAATCATCTTACATTCATTAAACCATTTTTGCTTTTGCTTACAATTAATGTTTTTCTACTTCACTGATGATGTAACCAGGGCCTCACACCTGCATCCTGGGACATTCCTGTCATGTCCCAGGAAGCACACCCTGAATTTTAGGCGGAGTTCCAGAAAGCAAAGGGAGATGCATTCATCCGCCCTTCAGTAATATGGCCAGCGTGAGAAGAATGGGGGGGAGGGACAAAAGGTATACAAAGAAAAAAAGACTGCAACTATCTCTAAGTATTTGTCTGAAGATTGCCATTACTAAACATTTCTAAATGTACATTTGAGGCAATTTTTCTGATAAGGGTGAAGTTCCTTTTTAACTGTAATAGTTTAAAATCTATCTTTATGACACTTTGTCACAGTTCCCTGCACAGTCAGAAATCATACATATTAGGAGGGTCTGTGATGTAAGCCAATCATGTTGTAATGTATTACCAAGGGATTGTCAATCTAAGCTGTTTTTGGGCATTGGAAGGCAGAGGTGAGGGGGTTTAGGCAGCTTATAAGAGGAGTATAACGAGACTTCAGCAGTATGATGATGTTAGTTTTCAGTCCGGTGAGCAGACAGGTAACACAGGAAGCGGCCGCAGGGTGCAGTGGTGTCACCCAGCTTGATTATAACATGTTGGAAATCTATGCATGTCAAAAAGGCTGCTGAACAGAACAAATAATTTATATTACAAACCTTTTGGTAGGTAAATCAGATCAAAAGTATTTGTCTGAATTGTGTATTCGGTCTCTGATTAGGATTTAGGTTTTATGTTACCGGTCCTCCAGCACAGAACATCACACCTTAGCATACAAGATGCATCAGGTGCTCTTCTGTTTTTTTCTAGAAAAAAAAAGCTGCAAATCAGCATCATGGAAAGTGTTTAGTTTTATTTCATGATTTGAGATTTTTCTGTTTTAAACCAATATCTGGCCATTATACTAGAATTGTTCGTTGTCACATGCTGCATAGAGTTATGGTCAAAAATATTGGCACCCCTGCATTTCTGTCAGATAAAGCACCAATTTGCCCAGAAAATTGATGCAATTACAAATGTTTAGGCATTCTCGTGTTTATTTCTTTTGTTTGCACTGGTAAAACACAAAAGTGGAGAAACAAAAAAAAAAGTCAAATCTGACATATTCCACGTAAAACCACAAAAATGGACTGGACAAAATTATTGGCACCTTCAATTAAATATTTGGTAGCAAACCCCTTGGAAATCAATCGCTTCCTGTAACCATCAATGAATTTCTTCTACCTCTCTCCTGGAATTTTGGACCAATCTTCTTTCGCCAACTGCTCCAGGTCTCTCAGATTGGAAGAGTTCCTTTTCCCAGCTGCTCCCTATTTCTAATTGCAACAATTTTCTGGGCAAAGTGGTACCTTATATGACAGGATCGCAGGGGTGCCAGTATTTTTGGCCATGACTGTATGTTCAAAGAAATAATAGCAAACAGATACAGCACTGCAAGGCCATTTACTGCTACTGTGTCCCACCATGACATGTGCAATAAGTAACGATGAGGCTTTGCACACATACGAGCTGCATGTTAGGCTCACGTGAAGCCTGTGCTTAATTCTGTTTTGTTGCTTATCCCCACAAACAGAAATATAAGTGAGCAGGGAATGCACAATTGGCACGCTCAGACACTGCAGTCTCATCTATACTGAGCCATTCTGACTACTGCAAAGCTCTTATGTCAAGCTCCATCTCTTGGGGGTCATTTCAGATGCCTCAGCAGTGAAAATCTATGACCACGTCACCAAAAAACACCACAAAACAAAGCCCTTATTGTGATCAAAAACATTATAACCCAATTGTAAAACTTGAGACCACCAGTCTTAGTCTTTTTGAAATAAGGGCCAGCCAGGAAGTAAACTAAACCTGTCATCAAAGCAACACAGGGATGCCATTGCTGAACTCCCTTGTTTCAGTTGTTATGCTGATCATCCGACTTCAATATTTTCCAAATCACTGATCCAGAACAAGTATGCACTATGGAAAACCTCAAGTCCTTATCTGACTATTTGCTCTTTTAAATAGGAGCGTTCAGTAATGACAACCTCCATGTTCTTTTATGACAGATTTCTCTTACGTAAGAGTCCATTATGCGTGTTCCATTGAGAAAAACCTTCATAGAGAGGTGAATTATTTACCATATTGAAGATGTCATCTTTATTGTTCCTAAAGCACACAGCTATATCCTTCTGATTTAACTGTTTAAGTTTCCCTCATGCCTATCAAGCAGCCTGTGATGCAGGTCACCTTAGCTCCCTGGACACAAAACAACTGTATTCAGAGAATGGTTCAGCATCATATCTGAGCACAAAAGAGAAAACAAAAATTCCTATTTGAAAATTGGAAGAAAGGTATGGCTAGAAAAAAAACCCCAATGTATTAAAAACCAAATCATGTATGATGTTTGCAGTAGATGATACCAATTTTGACAGCTACTACACCTCAAAAGACCTCATAGTCTTCGATTCATATAGTCCATACTGTAAGCTAAAATCATTGCACCAACCAAAGAACAATTGCTGCTTTATAAACTAAAGCAGAATGTAAAAGAAAAAAAAACATGTAAAAAGAAACTACCACCATAAACATATTTTGTACTTAATAACAATTTCAAGTCCAGACAAGGATATACATCATTAAAATGCCAGGTCAGGAGTGTCTCGCTCATACATAGAAGTGCATACATCTTCATGCATGTACATTTCATGTTGTGCAATTTTACTGTAGTTTGTGCAATTCAACTGTACCACTGTCAAAAGTGTTTGACAACATAAAGGGCTAGCATAGGTCTCAAATGGTGCCACACGAAAATAGAACCTTGGAATGGAATCGTGTGCATTTAGAACTATCACACAGAATGGGGACTGTAATATGTGAACAACCCAAGACCATTAGTGTCGAAGATCTACCCTTTTACATCCATTCTCTACCTGTGACATAGGGTGGGTTGGTGGATGGCAACAATTTTAATTGCTTTTGATACAGTGGAATAACACCACTAGATTTGACTGTACATAGTGAGGAATGATAATCAAGCACTTATTCCCAGCTCTTAATAAAGTGAACAGTCTTGGATGGTTCTAGAGCACTGTACAGGCACAATCAGAACTACTGACCATACTGTTATAATAAAGTGACAGCTGAAATTCCCTTCATGTCCTTTTACAGAAGTTTAGAAAAAGACTACGTGAAGTCGCTGGAAAATGTCACTGTCCATCCTATCATGAACCCTTTTATAGTAATATGATATTTTTCCTATAGAAGGATCACTGAAAGAACAGTAATTGTGACGTTTGATGGTTTTTTACTTTGTTCTTTAATACTTAACAAGTGATGTACCAGAAGGGTAAAGAGCGTCCTCTAAAGATTTAATGTATTGATGCCAATTTCAATGCAAGAGGACAGTTATTTACCCTCAATTCCTAACGGATGAATTACATTTAGGTCTTGATCACTAACAAAGAGGTCGTCTCAGAAGGATGGAGAATGATAGCAGGCCAAGAACATATCCATTAAAGTCACAGGGAACAAAGGATCTCTGTGCTTTCCTCTTCACTTCATGAAGATGTTAGGCAGACATTGTTGCTTTGTTCTGTTTTTACGTATACATAATTGCGTCCGTTCACTGAATGTCCTGCTCTTGTATTCCACCAGGAGACACAAAGGGGTTTATAATCTGTTGAATTCCTATATACTCTTAAGAGACAGGTTAACATATGCCTTTAATTCCTGCTGCAACCGTTTTTTTAAAAGAACATTCTAGAATTTATCCAGGATCCATGAATTTTATACATGTTTATGATTAAAAAAGGAAAATTTTCTGTTTCTTTCTTCAAAATACCTAAAACTGGGGAAGTTGGTTGCCCAAGCCAATTATTTTTTCATCATCCAGATGAAAAATAAAAAATATAATAAATATAATAAATACAACTTGCTAACCACAACGGTGGGGAAAAGAGGGAGACCAATTCCACCATTAAAATAATAATAATAAAAAAGATGAGTTTCTAGGAACATGAAAATGACACTAATAGGTCATGTACATTTCAATCCTGGCAATAAAACACGATGTGCACATTACGCATCCCCGCCTCGTATCGAGGGGGAGAATTTACACTGTACGAACAAGAAGAGGTTTCGATCTGAAGTGCATCATCTCTTTTAAAAACTCTGATGGGAATGAAGAATCCTCACGCTCAATTTTAAATTTAAATTTCTTCTCTCCGTATGCCAGTGGGCGCTTGGGGTCATGCTCAGAGCAGCACAGTCTCCCTTCCAGGGATGAGATTGTCAACTCTCCTTTCTCATGCTCTTTGCAGAAAGACGAAGGGCAGAATTCACAGAAGGATGAAGAGGAGGATCCGCATTTGTCACACTGGTGCCACGGGCAGTCCCATTTACCTGAAAAGAGAGGAGAATCATTGCAGCAAGCAAACAGACTTCATGAATACATTTCTGACATTTTGCTATAAACACCAACAGTATATTTTTTTTCAAAAAGACTGCAATTTTTAGCGAAAAAGTATTAGCTCTAGTTCAGTGGCGTTGCCTTCAGAAGAAATTACAGTATGCCATCAGTCTGCTGCAGGTAGGAGGAATCATTGCCTCAGTCTTCTCTACCTCAATGATTAGACTATAAAACTGCAACTTTGTAACAATTCACAAGCAGTCATGGGTAAATCTGCTCTGGTTCAATTCGCCAACAGTTAGGCGATTCTTGTTCAAAACATGGGGAACCCAAACTTAGAGGCAAATCCCATTGAGGAGTACAGGGGGTAAATCTTCCTAAATATTTTTTGTCAAAAGAAAGCTTTATTAAGTTTGCACAAACTTACATGGCATAAGTTCCAGAACCACATGCCAAACAATCATAAACAACCCTTATCAAGACTTCACAGTCACAAGTATGACAATATGAATACAGTAAAAGGCATTCCGCTCCTTATACTCTGCACCTCCACCATCGGCATGTGACAAGATCATCCACATAACACTAATTAGCCCATAATGTTTTCAATACCACAGACAGACCTCACATTATTAACAGCATATATTACAAAGTGACAATATGTTACCGTAGCAATTTATCCAACCCGCCAACCCGGAAATATCCAACCACCCATCCCATACTTTTAAAAATTTATAAGCACAGCCTCTATGTTGATAAATAATCCATTCATATCTAAGAACAGTTCCCAAGGATGTTATCCATTCTCTATGTGTGGGAGGGGAAGGGTTTGTCTAGTGAAGTAAAACTGCTCTACGTGCCTGAAATAAAGCACAAGGGGCTGAACGGGGCAGAAGGAGGACAGTCCCGGATTAACTGTACCCTCTAAAGGCATTAAAGTTGACTTGGATCAGTTCATTGTTAATCCTGAGTAGTTACCAAACTCTGTAATTACAGACATAGCTGCTTTCACCAAGATTTCTGTGCCAGCTAGCATCAAACACATATCATCTGCATATAACATTAGTTATAAGTAGGAGGGGCAAAATAACAGTAGCATATTGTCTATAGATCTCTATAGGGATCCCATCTTCCCATGGTGCTTTACTGGCTGAAACTCACCAACTGCCTCCTGCAATTCCTCAATAGAAATAGGAGCGTCTAGACGCATCTTCTGCACAGTGGTTAGGCTCGGGAGAGTAATAGTTTGTAAATATAAGATCATTATATGTGTACAGCATCTTAGAGTGGAGGAAAAAATTTCACCAGCACACCGAGGATTACCAATATGGGTCCAAAGGTTTTAATAAACCATCACATAGTTACAGCAAGGCAACGTTTCGGAGTCTCGCAGGACCCCTGCATCAGGCATGTGACTGATGAAGGGGTCCTACAAAGACTCCGAAACGTTGCCTTGCTGTAACTATGTGATGGTTTATTAAAACCTTTGGACCCATATTGGTGATCCTCGGTGTGCTGCTGACATTTTTTCCTTGCTGATTTTGTTCGGTTCCAGCCGACGGTCACTGCAGCACCCACTTATACACACAGCCATTTTTAACGCAGGAACGTGTGCGTTTGGATCATACACTTGCGTACTGCATTTTAGAGTGGTACAAAGCAGAGTAAAAATTAACTGGCTCGGCCAGCACGGTGTCTGGGGTATTCAAAGTAGTGAGAATGATGGGCTGCTATGGGTGGGGTGTAGATCGCGCAATCACCTATTTAGTTAGGAAGCGACTGGTATGCTCCCCCTCCTCGTAGAAGGCCTGCTTCCTAAAGAAGTGCCGTTTTTCAGCTGAGGAGGATGCCAAATGGGCCACAGCATCCTGTGCAGACAGCCACTCCTCTTTAACAGTGTCAGATGGATTTGCGATGTATTTATTCTCCAATCTCTGTACTAGTTGAGACAAATGGGATTCCTGTAATGAACTATTGTTCTTAATAGCTGTTATTTCCAATATAAACAGACCCCTTAAAAAACATTTGAATGCATCCCAACGATCCAATTCATTAACTTCAGGGGCATTATCTCGAAATAAAGAAGTCAATGATGTGAGATTCTATACGGTCGTGAATAGTAATGAATTAAAGCCATAATGCATTCATCTTCCAGGGGGCGCGCTTAAGAGTGGAAGCCGGTCTAGCCTTTACCTTAGCTATCAATGGGGAGTGGTCTGAAATACCACAGGGCGCATAAGCCACATCTGAAACCCAAGCATGAGCAGCCGTATTACCCAGGCAAAGGTCAATCCTGGACAGGGACGAGTGAGAGTTGGAAAAGCACGAAACGGTCAAGTCCGTTAGGTGTCTCAACTTCCAAATATCCACTCACCCAAATTCCTCCATAAAGCAGGCCAACAAAGGTCTCCAGCCAGATGGCATACCCCCAGGAGAGGGGTGCCTATCCAGCTGGGGATCGGTCTTCCTAAATTTTATGCATTAGGACAAATAGGCAAGCTACTGACAAAGAAAAGGCATGGAAAGCTAGGCTCTGCTTTGGAGAACATGTATCATGGCAGAAAAGAAAAAAAAAAGGTCTTTTCATGACAACATTGAAAATACACAAATCCTTTATAATGTGCTTTAGGCCAACTTAAAGCAGTGGTGGTCAAATGTCTAGATATGAGGGGCCTCAAGTGCGACCCCCGACATCACTAAAGGGCTGCACATAAAATTCAGTGAATATTCAATCAGAGATGGTCAGAGACTGCGGACATGACTTAGGAGTTGATCAGAGACTGTGGATATAATACACAAGATGGTCAGAGACTTTGGACAAGCTGCAGGAAATTGTCAGAGAAAGTGAACTATTAAAGGAGTTGTTGGAGACTGGGGACATCCTTTAGGGCACAGCCATAGACTGGAGACATTTTACGTGAGGCTGCTAAAAATCACTACTATAACAGGGCAATAGAGAAATAAAGATTAGTGTTTGCTGGGACCATGAAGACCAATTTCTTTTTACAGGCAGTCTCAACAATGATGTTGAAACTGTTACATTTAGCATGACTTACCTACAGCAACAACACCCCAGTCTGAAAAATTTCAACTTGAAATAAAGGCTTTTATAAAGTACTTTTAGCAGTGACGCATGTTTACATTAAAAGCTAATAGGCCCAAGTTGACTTGCAGATAGAAATTAGCTAGTAATTTGCTGTGGCTGCCCCAGTTCTGTTCTCACAGATGCAAAACTGTCCGGCTGCAGGAAAATTTCTATCAAACTTGCATTAGGATTTAAGCCACTTTAGAAAATACAGCAGTGTAAAATTGTCCAACAGCAGGACAGTTATAATCAGAGATAATAGTCCCAACTGATGTATAGAAAGAAAGCACTAACTCTCCAGAGCCTCAAAAGGGGTCAATACCAGGAAGAAGCCAGGGAATCAAATGTGTGGATAACCTTAGGATAAAATCCTGGTGATGCAGCCCTCCTCAGATTGGGAGATCATCAAAACTGGAAAAAAGCACACAAGTGGCACAAACACCTGGACCATTATTCAAGGTTTATTAAAACTTATTTAACCGCTTCCCCATCACCCTATAGCAGATTGTCAAGGTCCTACCTTTTCCCTGAGGTTATGTTACTCCATGTGCTGGCGTCCATCTTGGATTCTGCTGTGCATGATGGGAATCCTTTTATGCCTTCAGGTTTCTGTGGTCCATCCCCCAGAGGGGTGTGGCTGATGACATATAAGCCTGTGGCCCGCACATGCTCTTTGCACTTGTGTCTTGTGTCTTTGTGTTGCTATTACTCTGTTCTGATCTCGTGACTCTCCTGGTATCTATTCGGCTTGTGACTTGACTATTCTTTGTATTCTCCTTTGATCTGACCCTCTGTTGCTGAACCCGGCTCGTGACCTGTGATTCTCGTCTGCTGTCCTGTACTGTTTTGTCCTGTTGTTGTTGACCCCGGCTTGTCTGACTACTCTTTTGTCTCTTCCACCAGCTACACGCCATTGGCGGCGGCCATTACCGCAGCTGAGGTGTCTCGGGGGCCGCGACCTGGTTCCTGGCTGCGTCAAGTCCATCCCCACCATCAGGGGCCCTGGTGAAGGGCAGCCTGGGACTTAGACTCCGCACCCTGAGGGACTTCGGTCTGTGGGTGGTGGTTGTCGTCAGCCAGTGTGTTACATTGTTAGGCCTGCCTGTCCGTTCCTCAGCTCCTGCCCTGACATTACACAAGTGCCATGAACCCTGACGGTGCAGGCACGCCTTCGCTCCCAATGCTAGTCGCCAGACTCGATCAACAGGATCACCTGCTGGATCAGTTCGCTCAGGCGTTGCAAACTCTGCTTGCACGCACTGCACACCTTGCTCCTGGTGCTATTAGGCCGGTAGTCGCTCCGGTGGTCTCTCCCGCTCCTTCTCCGCCTATTGCATCCACCACCTCGACGGCTGCATCAGCGGCGCCCAGAGGTATGACTGGTTCTGCCCCTCTTCCACAGCGCTTTGGGGGTGAGCCGAGTCAGTGTCGTGGGTTCCTCAACCAGGTGGGTATTTATTTTGAATTAATACCCCACGCCTTTCCGTCTGAGAGGTCAAAGGTGGGTTCCTAATTTCACTACTCTTAGACAAGGCCTTGGCCTGGGCAAATCCCTTATGGGAGAGGAACGACCCGGTGATTCAAGATTTTTCCGGTTTTGTCGATGCCTTCCGTAGGGTATTCGACGTACCAGCTCGTTCCGCCTCGGCGGCCAAGCTGCTCATGACCATGCATCAGGGTTCACGGACCGTGGCCGAGTACGCTATAGAGTTTCGTACCCTGGCGGCAGAGGTCGGTTGGAACAATGAGGCTCTGGTGGCTGCGTTTTTTTCCCATGGTCTTTCTGACACATTGAAGGACGAGATTGCAGCTAAGGAACTGCCTGTGGTGTTGGAGGAGCTCATCTCTTTCCTGATCCTGATTGACACCAGGCTCAGGGAGAGGCCTTCACTCAAGGAACGCCTGCGG